CCATTTTGCTTCTGTCTATGCTTTTAGTGAGGAATCTTTTAAAACTGGAGTCATATTTTTCTAAAATATTTTCACTTGACTCTGTTTCAGTATCAGATTCTTGTTGAGTTGTTTCTAAATCATTTTTGAGTTTTAAATTTATTTCTTTCTGCTCAACAAGTTCTGTTCTCAGAAGATCAATCTCAGATTCAAGATTGCTTTTCAGCTTCTTGTATTTGAGTTTAATCTTGCTGTAGCTTTCCAACATGTCAGATAAACTTTCAACAAGTTCAGCTCTGGAGAGTTCAGAAAATACCTCTTCAGAGTCAGAGTCTGATTCTGACTCAGATTCAGATGATGACGTTCCTTCATCTTGATCATTTGTGTTGGCCATCAGCGCAACATTTGCACATTCTTCCTCAGATTCAGAAGATGATTCAGATTCATCTGAGTCATCCCATGTAGCCATCAAAACCTTTTTCTTTTTATCAAACTTCCTTTTGGGTTTTTCCTTTTGAAGTTTGGGACATTCACTCTTGTAGTGTCCAGGTTCTTTACATTCAAAGCAAGTGACCTCTTTCTTGCCAGATCTTCTGTGTCCAGAAGATTCTCTCTTTTGATCAGATCTTCTGAAGTTGTTGAACTTCTTCCCTTTGTGCTTCCAGAGTTTGTTGATCCTTCTGGACAGCATGGATAGTTCATCTTCTTCTTCAGAAGAAGATTCCTCAGAGCTTTCTTCATTTACCTGCAAAGCTTTAACAGATTTGTTAGATTTAAAAGCTAAGGATTTACCTTTATCTTTCTTCTGGGGTTCATCTTCCTCCAGCTCAATCTCATGACTTCTCAAAGAACTGATGAGTTCTTCTAATGAGATTTTGTTCAGATCCTTGGCCAGCTTCAATGCAGTCACCATAGGTCTCCATCTGGTAGGAAGACTTCTGATGATCTTCTTGACATGATCAGATGTTGAGTAGCCCTTGTCCAGAACTTTCAACCCAGCTGTTAGAATCTGAAATCTGGAAAACATAGTCTCAATGTTCTCAGATTCTTCCATCTTGAACGCTTCATACTTCTGTATCAGCGCCAGAGCCTTTGTTTCTTTCACCTGAGTGTTTCCCTCATGAGTCATTTTGAGAGACTCAAACATATCATGAGCAGTGTCTCTGTTGGTAATCTTCTCATACTCTGTATGAGAGATTGCATTAAGAAGTATGGTTCTGGCTTTGTGATGATTCTTGAATTCTTTCTTCTGCTCCTCAGTCATTGATTTTCTATCAATCTTTTTGCCATCCTTAGTAGGATGTTCATATCCATCAATGACTAAATCCTAGAGATCAGCATCATACCCCAAGAAAAAACTTTCAAGTCTATCTTTCCAATAATCAAATTTTTCTCCATCAAACATTGGAGGTTTGGTGCTGATTCTGTCTCCTTCATATTTGTTGCTTGATGTAGGAATATCACCCATATTAGCAACCAAATAAATAACAGAGTATTCTTCTCACTGGATCTTTATCTGTCACGGTTAAGTGAATGCACACTCAGAACCGGAGCTCTGATGCCAACTGAAGGTGAGAAAATACTTAGAAGGGGGGGTTGAATAAGTATGACAGAAAATAATCAAAGATAAAAACTCAAGTATTTTTATCCTGGTTCGTTGAACTCAACTACTCCAGTCCACCCTTTTCAAGAGTGATTTGCCTTTCTCAACAAGGACTTAATCCACTATTCAAATCAACTGATTACAAATAGCAACACCTAAGAACAACTGTTCTTAGTCTTCTCAAGAGCTACTGATCTAACCTAGATCCTCTTAAGGAAAACTTCCTTTACAAATTAATGTAATACAATGTAAGAGTAATAAATTGCTTCTATGAAAGCTATAAACACAACTGTGTTATTTCTCTAAGTTTAGAACAATGTATGAACAGCAAAGAATATGAGAGCTTGAGAGTTTCTTCGCTTGAGAGTAAGTTTGTCAAATTCGTCACTTGAAGAATGAGCTATGATGTCCTTTATATAGCCACTTGAATATTGGAGAGAATATTTTACCGTTGGAGAAGATATTTCCAATATCAAATAGTACTGTCCTTTGTACTATTGCAGCAGAGAGACGGCGCACAAAATGTGGGTGTAGCAATTGTCTGCTGAGCTGTGAATTTACCATATATGGAATGTATCAGAGGAATAATCTTCTTGCAGAGAATTATGTCTATCCCAATTAAGGAAAGATTTGCTGGCATATTCCAACGGATATATTAAAATAATCTTCTTCAAATAATTCTTCAGATAGTTCAGATCAACAATCAATATCAGAGTCTTCAGTCTTCAGAATCTTCTGGAAACTTCAGAGCCTAAGATGTTCTTCAGATGTTGATGAATCAGAGTCTGGTGCAGCTGTGTGCTTGAAGCGTAACATGCTCTTAGATCAGAGTCTTCACTCAGATCAGAGTCTTCTCTCATTCAGAGTCTCTTCACTCAGAGTCTTCTTTCATTCAGATTCTTGATAATATATGCAGCGTGTTGTATCTTCAGAATCTTGATGACTAAGCTCTTATACTTCAGATTCTTCTAATCTTCAGATGCTCTTGAGCCATTCAGAATTTATTGTTCACATCAAATTTGCTCTTTAAGATTAAAATCTTTTGTGCCTGTAGAAGACAGTTTAGAACAAATTTAGAGAGTATAATTCTTGTATACAAATTATCATTAATGTTATCATCAAAACATAGAGATATTACTAAGACACAATCTGTGCTCTTACAGGTACCGCATTTGCATCTGCATAGAGTCGTGAGTCGGTCTCTATGAGTTGCATTATCATTTTTATATTATGCATTGGTGAAATAAACATGAATATAGATGTTTATGTGAATTGGTGAAATAAACATGTTGTGTGTGTTTATGTGAATTGATGAATGTACTGTGGTGAGAAAATGTGGAATATATGTATTCGGTAATTGTGCATTTATATATATGATTATATGCATTGTTATTATGATAATATTTCTCACCCTTCTTCTGGAATGATGTCCTTTATGACGTCGTGCAGGTATCAAGGTGTAGTACTGCTCGTAGTCGCGAGGTCGCTATTGGTGTAACTGTTAAGTGATTTAATTGTATTGGGTTGAGTCGTGCTCTGGTCGTGTAACACTGGGATCATTTGGGTTACGTTTCAGATGTATTTTGTGTTGTTGGCCTCAGTGCCTAAGTGATGTTGATTTATAAGATAAATGCAAATATTTCTTTTATGGAAGATATGTGATATAAATGAATTCGCTGTTACATGCAAATGAAATTTTGTAAAGTATGATTATTTATTTCAGTGTTATTGAGCATGACAAGTGGTTTTTAGTAATTTGGAAGTATATGTGTGACACCCTTTGTGAATGCATGTTACTTTTACTGTGATTATGCTTATTACTCCGTGGGGTTTAGAATGGTGTTACACCAGTCGTCTCAAACTACAACACAACAATCTTGATCCCCTGTTGCATATGCATTTTGCATTTTCATTTGCATATCATTAACATGTATCTTTGTTGCAGGTGTACTTTTCCTCCCCGATTCTAGTGATCTTTGTTCCTTTTCTGACATGGAGTTTCTAAAGAAGACAGTTGCCTACAAGCTCCCTTCTCTTGACATCAGTTCTCTGTTGAGTTTGATTGCTTTAGCAAACCATAAGGTGAAAGTAGAGTTCAAAGAATCTTATGGGAAGCTGCTCAGTCTGATGTGCAAACCTTCAGTGTTCGAGTTGAATGGTTTATATGCTTTGCTACAGTTTTATCACTACGCCAAAATTGATATTTTGTATCGTCTAATTTAATAGCGCTTTTAAAGAAAGTTCTATTAAAAAGGAAACAAACGGATTTTGATAGCACTTTGTAAAAAAGTGCTATTATTAAACTTCACTAAGATAACGCTTTCTTTAAAATGCTATTAATATTCTTCACTAAGATAACGCTTTTAAAGAAAGTGCTATTAAAAAGGAAACAAAATGTGATTTTTTTTATACAACATTATTAAACTTGACTAAAATAACGCTTTCTTTAAATCGCTATTAATATTCTTCACTAAGATAGCGCTTTTCAAAAAAGTGCTATTAAAAGATAAACAAAATGTGATTTTTTTTACACAGCATTATTAAACTTCACTAAGATAGCGCTTTCTTTAAAACGCTATTAATATTTTTTACTAATATAGCGTTTTTCAAAAAAGTGCTATTAAAAAAGAAATAAAATATGATTTTTTTACACAACATTATTAAACTTCACTAAAGTAACGCTTTTTTTTTAAAATGTTATTAATATTCTTCACTACGATAGCGCTTATAAAATAACGCTTTTAAAAAAAAACGCTATTATTAGACTATATTATAAAATATATAATAAATAATAAAATTAATTAAAAATCCAAAGTGTCTTCTTCTTCCTAACGGCCAAACCCTAGTCGCCGCTCCATCTCCACCATCCAAACCTTTCTTCCTCTCCATCGCCATTATCATCGTCTCTACCATCCCTCTAATCCGAACCCTCCTCTTTTTCTCTTTTCCACTCTCTTCCTCACACGAAACCCCCTTCTCCTTCTTCTTCTTCTTCAAAACCACTGAATCTCTTCCTCATCTTCTCCGACAACCATCGCCCAAAAAACCTTTCTTCTGGTTAATCTTCTTCACCCCCATCAACTCTCACACAAACCTTCACAAAAACCGTGATCTTGAATACCTTCACCAACCATTATCGCGATCAAACGTCAACTGTAGGGGAGAGTCGAAGCTATGGCCTTCTTTTTGTTTTGTTCCTCCGTGAACCGTAAACCCACTCCTCACCGAAAGATTTCTCAAGCACGCACCATAAACATCCGAGGATTGTTCATTACCGCGTCGACAATGTTGATAGCTACACTTCGACCCTGAAGCATTAGTTGTTTCCTCTACCGTTGTGATTTGATTGCAGTAGTAAAGAGTGGGTACTGAAGGGATTCAAGTGGTGTCAACGAGTACCGAGTACCAAGTAGCCTCCATGGCAGAAGAGAGATGGAAAACAACCGAGTACCGAAAAAAGGTCGTGCAGCCCGTGTAAGTAAATAAGCCTGTCTAAAAACATTTGAATTTGGCGCTTTCTTCTAACATGACCTTTAACCTGTTAAAATGTGTTATATTTGGTGCAGCGCGGAAGAATTAATCAAGCATGGTGCTCCTTTAAAAAATTTTAGTTTGTCTGAGCTTGTTGCATCTGTAGAAAGATTTGAAGAGAAAGTGAACACTTGTGCAAAAACTGAGGTATCACTACTTTGCAAGCTTGTAATTGAAACATCAATAAATGATAATTTATCTACTGACATAAATCTGTTTATAGGAAGAGTATCTTAATTTGGTGACTGCGAAAGTAAAATCGATCCATGTACTGTCACGGAAGGCCGCTGAAGCCAGAAATCACCTAACAAATGCTTCTGACTCAGGTGAATATTCTGTCCTCTACATATTGAAATAGGTTAAGCATGTTTTCTATAATAGTTAGATTGATTTTCATTAATCTGTAAATTCTGATACTATGATACAGGATTTTACAATAGTGCTAAAGATAATTTTGAAAAGTTCATTAATTATGAGTGTTCAAATTCATTAGTTACGCCTTCAGTTCAATGAATGTTAATATTTTTCTTTAATGTCTCTTGAAGCTGGAACAAATGCAAACTTTGATTGGCAGGTAATTACTAAAATTGTTTCAAATATTTCATCAACTGTGATTTTATGTTGTGTTACTTTTTTATTTGCAGCTTCAAGTTCTGAAACACAAATATAACGTTGTAGTCCGTCGACTTTATGAAAAGATTTGTAAAAGGCTTCAGGTTTGTGGATTCTTCATTCAATTTATGATTGAAGAAAACTTTATTTAGCTTCTTATTACTAATGTTTTCTGGTGAATTCAGCCTTCTGCTAAAGTTTTAAACTCAAGAGAATTGGATAGATTTAGACACCATAAGAATTCAATGGAAAGCCTTTTTTCACTTTTTGAATTGAGTAAGAACCAGATCACTCCGGATATGAAGTATCGACCAATCGAAGCAGATCGTTACATACAAGGTATTTTAATGGTGAACGGTTCTACAGTGCAACACTCATCTAACTTGCAATCCAAGAAACAACCGGTAATCCAAATTGGCAGTTCACAATGCGGTAAACCTACATCTGGTTCCCAAGAGAAAAGTCCTGCAATTGATCGATTGATAAAAGCGGTTGAACTAAAACTTGTGTCTGCTCTTGATTTGTTTTTTCACCGACTCGTAAGAGTTTTGTATTGATGCATTGTAAATTCTATGATTCTGATCTAATTTTCAGTGGACATCAATTCTGTTGTTTCGTGTTTTTAATGAATTCTACAAAAATGTTCATTGCGTAAGTAGTCATCAAGTATGCATCAACCATTGCGTAAGTATTGAAATGATAATTACTATACTACTATTATTATTATTGTTGTTGCTATTTTTCTCCAATGGTTATGAAAGTTACAAAATGAAAAATTTACTTTGATCTGTAGTACGCAAATTCCCCATGCTGTTGGAGCTGCATATTCCTTAAAGATGGACAAAAAGGATGCATGTGCCATAACTTACTTCGGGAGATGGTGGTTCAAGTGAGGTAAATTATACAATTCTAAAATAGTAAGACTCATTTCCCCCCTTTCTGAAAGGAGATTTCTGTGCGATTTAAACACGGCATGTATTGAGATCTTTGGTTTTAAAATTTTGAAGGAGTTAAGGTTATACTGTATCAGTTTAGGCTAAAAGTTTTAAATTCTCAATATCTTTTTTGTGGTTTAGGAGGAGTGTTGCATATACTTGTTATTTTAAAGTAAAAAAATCTGAAGTTATTCCGTCTCATTAAATGAGTGTGATAGAATGGTTTTGTTTTCATCAACAATCATTATCAAGGATCATCAATATGTTAAGATTTTCTTCTTTTTGTTTTTTATATTGTAATAGATTGAGTTATGAGCTATAACAGGGAGATTTCCATGCCGGATTAAATTTTGCAGCGGTAATGGATGAGCCAGTCATTTTTCTATGCCGTAATAATGGATGGGCTATCAGTACCCCTACATCAGATCAGTTTCGAAGTAATTATCTGTACCTTCTATTTCATTTTCTTCTATTGTCTAGGTCTTTTCCATTGTCTCGCAATGTCTAACAACATATTGTGCTGGTTTTCGTGTTCAATGAGTGAGTTTCTACTGTTTTTGTTAGGAAACCTTGTTGTATGCACTTGCTTATTTAGTTCATGATGCTTTTTTTTTTCACTTGAGCTAATGATTTTGTGTATTGTTAATTTTTTTTCTCTGTTATTGTTTTCTAGCTTTCTGCACCCGGTTGATAGTAATAATACAAAGCTTCAACAATGGTTCTCGGCTTGGAGGAAGTCAGGTAGGTCACTCATGTATTTGTTAGTTTCTTAGGTTTTGAAGTATCTAGTTAATTATGTATCTTTTGACAATTTATTTAGCAAATGAAAGTATGAATTTAAAAGCATATATACTGCACTGATAAATGCAGTTGCCAATATAGCTTTTTACTTAGGCTTCTTATTTCATAATGACATTCCTATTGCCATAATGAATGGATACTTGAGTTCTCATTTCATCATTGACATTCTATCAGTTATTCCACTTCCACATGTATCTATCTCGCATTTCAACGCATTCTTAATTGAGTCTTTTTTTTCCTGATACGAAAGCGATAATTTTGCTATTGTTTTGGCATTACAGATTATTTGTTTAGCTATATTTCCACACATGAAAAATTCAGCTCCACTTGTAGCAAAGGATTTGTTGAAGTATGCAGTATTAGGCCAGTATGTGCCGCGGCTACTACGGATTCGTCCATTATTCAAATAAGTAACTAGAACTTCAGGCATATTGACAGAGACAGCATGGGCTGGAGCTTCTTACAATCTTTTTCTCTACATGCTAGCAAGTCATGTAAATCGATTTTATTTCACTCTTGCGATTCGATTATCTTATATTTGTTCCTAGTTATTATCATTGGTCACTAAATTCTTGTATATGGTTGTGGCTTATTTATCAGATGGTTGGAGCAAACTGGTATATACTTTCAGTAGAATCACAAGTGTGGTGCTGGCGCCGAGAGATAAACAAGGCTTCAATCTTTCGCGAATCATACTTGGGCTGTGAACGAAAAAATGAAACTGTCTTCAAAATTCTCAACAGTACATGTCTTTTGGTTGACCCTGATAATGTTAATGACACAAACACCTTCAATTATGGAATATTTTTCGATGATCTTCAATCCGGTGTGGTAGACTCAACCACTCATTTTCCTCAGAAGTTCTTCTACTGCTTTTGGTAGGGTTTGCGCAATTTAAGGTTGGTGAATGATAGAAAATGCAACATGCACATTGTAGAACTATAGAACTTTATATGACAAATTTTTTATCATAATATTTTCAATTTTGTCATATTTTATAGTTCTCTTGGATAAAATCTCAAGACAAGTACTTATGTGACAGTGATAACCTTTGCAATTTTCATTGCCATCTTTGGACTGGTTTTATTCTCTGGATGTCGACAAGATAAAGGCAATTGTTGTCGTCTGGAAGTTAAAACTGCCGGCGAAAGTTTTATGCTTCGGCTAGAGGTTCTTATGGAACAGGATCACTACTAAAGATCAACTTTTAAAGCGAGGGATCTCGGAGGTGAACAATACTTGCTGTTTCTGTCAAGCCTCAGAAGAAGATATTGCACATTCTTTCTTCAAATGCAGCAGTGCGGCGGCGGTGTGGCAAAGGGTCAGCGACTGGAGCGAAAACACCGGTGCATGTGTAAGAGATTACTGTAAATACTTTTCTGACTAGTGTGGTTTAGGACCTAACAAAGAGGGAAATTTGAAAGTCGGTTCCATTTGGATAACCGTTGTTTGATGCTTGTGGAGAGTTAGGAACAATTTACCCTTTAAAAGCAAAAAGTGTAATTTAGAAGACATTTGTTTGTGAAAATGGTCTTGTGTAGGTAAAATTACTTATTCTAACACTGATTATCATTTCTTTTACATGGACCCGTTAAAGAGCATTAAGTAAACTGGGTGTTGGTATAAAAAAATTTGTATTGCTGCTGGTTTGTTTGGTTATGTAATTTCTGTTTCTTCAGAATACAGTTTGTGATCTGATCAATATATTAGCTTTTAGAAAGAAAAAAAAAAGTAGTTGGCTGCACCTTTTGTTTAATACAGTTGCTAGGAGTAGTTGTGATCTCCTCCGCAAGTAATCTTTCATTCTCCTCTCATAATTTAAATATTAAAAATTTACTTTACTTTATAAAGAAAACAGTGAGTTATTGATAAGCTTAGTCATTATTATTTTATGAATTTTAATGTCGTAAAATGCAAATGATATATATATAGTTTGTTGCTACTGCTGGCACCTCAGATTGGTCTGCTAGGTTGATGGGTTTATCTGCAGAAAACATCGTATGGTTTGATCATGACATACTTGGCACCGAAATCATATATAGTTGCAGTGGTTTTCCGAACGTCCCATTGGTCGGAAGGAAGGGATGTATTAACTATAATCCCTCTTTGTTGATTAGACAAATTGGATACGCTTTGAAGAGTCCTCCTAAAGAAGAAGAGATACAGGAATCTCTATATCTCACAGGATTGCTGGAAGCCGATACTTTGGTTAGAATGGAGTATGCATGGAGTAACATTCACAGACGAGGTAAGGCAATGTTAGGAAAGAGCAATAATCGAGCTTATGACCCCTACGTTGTTTGGATCAAGGATAGAGCCGCAAGGTCTCTGATGCCATTTCCTTCAGTTGCATCTCTATATCCACTCATGATAGAAGAACCCACTACCATGTGTCGCTACTGCGAAAATCGGTGCCGGCTATGACAGAAGAGTCGCCACCGTGCGTTATTTATCCCAACGGAGGGAAAGGAAACGCTCAGAGTAAACCTAACGCAAAGACGGGAAAGGAATGGTCGTCGCAACCAAATCCTGGATTCGGGAGTCGGTTACGCAAGGGGAAGGTATTAGCACCCCTCACGTCCGTCGTACTCGACGGGATCCACGCTTGTTTTCTAGTACGGATTGTTATTCTATCTACTCTAAAGGTCAAGGGTTAAAAGAAAAGAAAATGACTCGGCAAAGTATCGCACTTTATGCCTACGTATTCCCGTCTGGAACGAGAAATCAGAGTCAACGTAGTTTGCCTACCTACGGGAGAGGAAGGGAAGGTTGCTCGCTAGGATACGACATCCTATGCCTACGTACTTTCATACAACATGAAAGATCAAAGCAAACGTAGTTCGGGCCACGGAAGACACAGATTTGTCTGACTGTTTTCTATCTTTCTGAAAAGGTTTTCTTCTGATTAAGAGTCCAAGCGGACAAAAATGGCACTTTGATGTTTCTTTTCAGTCTTTTACGCAAGAACTGTTTTTTTTGTTTGTTTGCAATCTCTGACGCACTAAAGACTATGATTTGAGGGAGACTACGTTGTATGTCACCTTAAGGGTAACACACTAAGCAGTCAGATTACTGAAGAGTGACCCTCCAGCAACCCTCTCTCAAATAGCTTAAGGCTCGTAGCGTACGACATCGATTATTCTTATTACTGTGTTTTGAATTGTTTTGAGATAGAAGAGAAAGAAGTTCTAAAAACCTAGGGTTTGAAAAGGGAATCAAAACTACCCTAATGTTGTCATGCATGGATTACAACCTAATGTCTGTCATAATTCCCTCCTGCACAGAGGAAATCAGAGATCCTGGGGGATAAACGGAAAAGAAACAGCATATATACAGTAAACAGTAAACATGCATGAGATGCAGGAGTACAAGCGAGGCAAGGGAGTCCCACTCAACCTCGAATCTGGGAAAACAATAGGCAAAGTGAAACAGCTTCACTTCAAACCTAAGGGGCAAGCTGAACAAGCCAACAAACAATACAGAAAAAAAAAAGAAATAAAACCCAACACCAGCTCTGACAGCAACACCAACTCCTACAGCTACAGCTCAAACAACAACAGCTCTGACAGCTACAGTTGATTAACAGCAAGGAAGGTGACAATAACCCTTTCAAGTAAGACCCCATCTTCAATCTTCAACCATCTTCAAGCTTTAGATAAGCTCCTATATTCAATAAGCCTTAGCTCTAGCAAGCATGAACCTCAACCAGTAGATAGCTTCAATCAGCAGCAAAACCCTAGTCTTCAACAGATACCCAGCTTTGACAGGCACAAGCTTCATCTTTACCAATCTTCAATGAACCTCATCTTCAATAGGTTCCCTTCTTCAATGCAACCACTATAGAAGAGAATCAACTAATAGATGAAGCTGAAATGCTAAGAGGCTCAGTGACAACCCAGGGAAATCACTAAGATCTTAACATAGCAAGTGAAAGGTATCCTCAAAGTTCTACCCAACCAAAGCCTGCTCTACATCCCTCCTAAGGAGAGATGGAACTTCTTTGGGGGACCTTGTATCATAGGATGGAATAGAGGCACAAGAAGCTCTCTATGTTTGACAGAAGGAATCAGTCTACTCTAAAGCTCTCCCTATATCTCCTATCTCCTAAGTCTTCAAAAGCAACCTTCAAGGATAAGAATCTTCATGCTCCAAGCTCCATCCTTTGTCTCCAAACATCCTCCAAGTCTTCATTAGCTCCAACAAACCAAGCCCAAGCCCAATTAGAATAGCCCCAACCAAGCAAACAAACCAAATGCCCAGGGGAAACACACACACATCAACCAATTGCAAAAATCAAAGAAAATAGTAGTACTTATCATAAAATCCTAGATTAATTTCTAAAGGAACCTAACTATATACCCTATACCCCATATAGATCCCATAACCTAAATCAACTATTAAACCCCAAAACTATGTGTCAAAATACACCTAAGTGTTGTGAAACCCTAATTCTGATACCTCTCCTATCTACCTCTCAAATTAATCTAAGTTTTAGTCACAAAAATATGACAAAATTCCTAA